CCACAACTCTCCCACATTATTATTCCTTTTTAAGTAAACACAATTTCCGTAGAAATTGGCATAGGCCTTAGATACCTTTCTTTTCTTTTTAATATTTTCTTTATCAGTTTATACCCTCTCCCAATCCAGGTTCTCGTTTGTAAGCTAATTTAACGATTAGTAAACAAACTTGTAATAATATATAAAAAGTTGTAATCAATGTCAGAAAAGAGGAAAAAATAAAAGAATTGAACCTTTACACATCATACCAGTAGAATAGTCCTTTGATAGAATTGGAATAGATTTTGTTGGATTGCTATCTGAAATAGCAAGAGATAATAAATATATTAAGTCACTATAAATTATCTTATAAAATGACCAGAAGCAAAAGTCTTACCAGATGCAAAAGCTTTATCAGAAACTAGTTTCTTTTATGAAGATATTGTTTGTTGATATAAATATCTAAAAGTATTATTAACTGATAGAGAAACTCATTTTGTAAATGAATTACTGGATATCTTATATCAACAACTTAAAATCAAGTATAGTTTGTTAATAGCATATCATTCACAAATCAATGAACTAGTAGAATGCTTTAATAGAATATTATGTGAAGTATTAGCTAAATATGCAAATGAAGAAAAAGATAATTGGAATCTATACATATCATCAGTTCTATTTACTTATAGAAATATGCAACACAACACCACAAAGTTTGAATTATTTTACTTGACTTATGAAAGAAAAGTGATATTGCCTATTGACTATGATAATACAATAACAAAAAAAGAAGATAAAGTTAATATTTTATTAAAAAGAACACACAAATTGATTACACAACTAAAAAGAGATAGACTTAAAGCAAAAGAAAATATTATTAAGTTTCAGCAAAAACAAGAACAGCAACACAATGCAAAAATGAAAGAAACTCACATATTCAAAATTGGAGAACAAGTCTTATTTTATAAAAGTCACCTGAGAGACAAAAGAAAATTGAAAGATAAATGAAAAGGATCATATTACATTCATGATATACTTGGAAATGGCATATACAAATTAAGAATACTAGATAAAAAAATTTTGAAAATACCAGTTAATAGTAAAAGACTAAAATTATATTATCAAAGATCACTATCAGAGCCATATATTCTTATAAAAGATTAATTTATCTGACTGCAAAATTATTAAACTAAGCTTATGGGATTGGTTAAATCTTATATCACCATCACTGGGACAAAAATTACAACTTTCAAAATGATTTTACTTGAAAACTATTATTATCTCAAATCCAAGTATCTACAAAGAATTTTTTTATTACAACGCTCTAGGATTCCACACATTTGTAATTCAAATTATTAGAGAGATTCACCTTATAGAGGATATAAATGTTGGGATTGTGTTGAAGTATTAAAAATAATTAAATATAAAGATGTAGTTAAAAAGAAACACTTTCATAGAGAATATAGCCTAAAAAATTATTTTTGTTATTGGTGTAAAAATAGACACAACCTAGATCATCAACACTTTAGCAAATGTGAAGATAGAGAAGAAGAGAAAATTATTATTCAACTACAAGATGAAGAAAAAGATGATGATGATGTAAATGATGAAAATGATGATGTAGATAATGAAGATGATGAAGAAGAAATAAAATTATCTCTAGTAGAAGAAGATTATCCTCACTATGATTCTGTATACTATTATAATGAAAAGGCAGATCTGTATTATCCACTTAATAGCTGGGAAAATGTTCCTCTACAGGATGAAGAAGTCTTACTACATTCTGGAAAGCCCATGACAGTCCCAGCATTTCGATCTGAAGATAGTAGCTCTGACCAGAAAATATATGACCGATCCAGAAATGATCCCAGAATTCAGTTTGAATTCAGCCAGAATCACGGTTACAAGACCACCTAACCTTTCAGATATTGATCAGGTAATCAAGAAAGCTATAAAAAGCAAAGTGAATTAGAAAGATAACAAAAGATCTTTCAACAGATCTTTTAGAATAATAACAATACGAAGAATGATAACTGGGATACAATCAACATCTCTTGGACAATGACAACAATAAATGACAACAATAATGAAGGTAACGGTGATGATATTTGCAATGACAATGGAAAATTACAAGATGAAAAGCAAAATATTAACAAAGATTAAGAAAATACGCTATCCCAACTCTCTCTCGCTCTCAGTGATGAGAGAAATAACTGATGCTGGTGGTTTAAAATTCAGCAAGACAGAAATCACTGTCACAGACTATGAAGAAACATGAAATAGCATTTCTCCAAGAGAAATGCAAAATTCCAGGAATTGCCACTGCCCACGTCAAAACAACATAGAAAATGACAACAGCAATATCTATCAACATAAAAAAAGCAAAGGAAGAGTCATAAACTCACCAAATTCGCTACTCAAAGGCTCGCAAATTCCAGAAAAACAATGGTAAAACTGCGACACTTCGCCAAACGAAATGCGTGATGCGCGAGCGCATTTTCCCTATAGAAAATGAAATGAAAATGAGAATAGAAGTGGCTATTTACTTAGGAATAAGAGAATGAAAGCCAATATAGAAAATGTACAGTAGAGATATTAAAAGTCCAGTCTGGTTCAGTCCAGTTTTGGAACCGCAAAGTTTGGGAGCTGGACAAACTGAACTGCAGTCCCAAATCAGTTCTGAACCTGGTTCAAGAACCGAGTTTAGAACTGCAGTCCCAGACTGGATCCTCAGACTGCGGTCCTGTATTAAGAGATGCATATGAGTTTGCTGTGGGTAGGAATATGAATTGATTTTCTAGAATCGATTAATTTGGTAGAATCGAGGAAATCAATTCTTAGAATCGATTAATATTTGAGAATCGATTGAAATTTGAGAATCAATTTTAAAGACAAAATCGATTAATAATGATTACGATAATGCATAAATCATGTATGTGAAAATATGCAATTGGAAAAACATGCAAATGAAATAGCGCATGACAAACTACGTACTCTGTCATTCAATAAAAATATAATTATTTATAATGACCAAGAAATTATTGCTAATACATGTATAAAATTTAATAACTCTAATAGTGATACAGTGGCTCACACATGTAACCGAACACGGAAATTAACTTTCTAGCATTTTTATTTCCATGACTATTAGTTTGAACAAAATAAAAAAAGTATTCATTTGAAACCTCTAATATTTTTTAAAAATAATTTGACAACAGATTATTTTGTGAAATAGAGTAGTTTAAATTAAAATTTACAATTAGTAAATTTCTCACATTGAAGAATTTTTTTTTTATGATGGATCCAAATTTGAACCACTAATTAAAAATGTATTACTCTATGAAATCTATCTATTTACCAGTTTTCATAAAAATTGGCACCAAATTCACTGAGATTTGAGATCCTGAAGGACTGAATCTATACTAAAAGCATTGGTATAGATTCAGACTTTAGGATCTTAAATATCTATATAAATTAGGCTGATTTTTATAAAAATTGGTAAATATGTAGATTTTATAGAGTAGTACATTTTTAATTAGTGGTTCAAATTTGGATCCATCATAGAAAAAAAGTTCTTTAATGTGAGAAATTTACTAATTATAAATTTTGATTTAAACTACTCTATTTTACAAAATAATCTGTTGTCAAATTATTTTTAAAAAATATTAGAGGTTTCAAATGAACACTTTTTTTTATTTTGTTCAAACTAATAGTCATGGAAATAAAAATGCTAGAAAGTTAATTTTCATGTTCAGTTACATATATGAGCTATTGTACTAATGCCAAAAGTAACTGATATTGATCGGAATCTCAATCTGGTGACAATACTTCAATTGACATAGTATTTCTATGAATTCAACTAATCAAAGTACAACTATTCCAACGAAAAGAGAAAAAAATCAACTTTAGTATTTATTTTATATTTTTTGACATGAACCCGGTCCATGTACCAGTCTCTTGAACCGGTCCTTTGAACTGAGTTCATGAACTGGGTCTTAATTAATCCCAGAGATGAAAAGACTGCTAAAGAACCGGGTCCTTGGTTTCTTGGGACGAACCAGTTAGAGTTTGATCCTGGACTCGGTCCAGATCTGGTTTATGCGAACTACTTAACATCTCTAATGTACAGCCTTTACAGCAAAGAATTGGCAATAATACAGAAAAAAGTAGAAAAAGAGAAAATAAATTCTACCTGACCAATTAAAATACAAATTCCTGGCATAATGATGACATCACGCAGATTGTGCAATTGAATACAATTGCATGGTAGCTTGGCATGATAACCAGTCCACTTTATGGTAGCTTAGAGATTATGAAGCCACAAAAATTTGATCTCACAAGGAAATTTGTAGATCTGAATTATTTGTACAAAAATTAGTCCCTTAAAATTTCTTTTTAGATAATTTTTAATGTTAAGTGAACATTAAAGATTTCTTTTTCTCTTTTGCTCTAGAATTCTTTTGCTAAAAAGATTCTTTTTAATTTTTATATATATTCCCTTTTAAAAAAATTTTGTAGCAAGCAAGCAAGACAAGAACAATTGCAAGCAAGCAATAAAATAATAATAATAATAATAATAACAACAAAAATAATAATAATCACTTTAATTTTTTATTACATTCATTTAATATTCATAAAATTATTCAACATGTCACAACTTTATATATTCTTAATTGATGAATAAATTCCAAAAGAGATCCTACAACTAGCTGATAATCTGTTTACCAAAATTTCATATCTTTACCCTGACTTAAAAGTTGAGATAGATGAGAATGAATACAACTTCTTAACCAAAGTAGACATGGATATTCTTTCGCAATGTCTAGCAGAAGTTGGAGCCATACCAGAATCTAGTACAACTCCTGGAGATAGTCTTACGCTCCTGGAAAAATCAATAATTGATGAATTGAAGAAAGCTAGAGATGGAAGAAGATCAGAAGCTCCACCAATCATCTGTCAGAAGAAGCGTCATTATCAGCATATTATGATGACTTAGCTAACAACAAGTATACTACCAATTCAGTAATATTTGAGATTGGAAAGATTATTTCCTTGATGACTCTTGGCAAATCTCAGAGAACTCAGAATTCAAAGACACAAAGACTATTTAAAAAGAATGTTTCCACAATTAACTTTAAACCCAGAGAATTAATAGCAATAAGATTCTATCGGTACTTCAAGGATGACAAACAGTTGCTACAATATGATAGAGTAGACAAGATATTCAAACCTGACAATATTAGAAAGATAGATCAAAAAACAAGTGATAACTTAGAAAGAAAAATATATAACAAATTTATTAGATAATTTTTAATTTTATTTATAATTTAATTTTTATTTTTATTTTATTATTTTATTTTATATTTTATATTTTATATTTTAATTTTTTATTTTGTATTCCTTCGACAGAGCTCAGAAATTATGTGAAGGAATATGTTATAGTTAATTTTGTTTGTTATATTTTATTGGACAATTTCTTAGTTTATTATTATTGGACATTTCGTATAATATATTTTATTGGACAATATTTATTTTTATTTTTATTGGTTAGTTATTTTTGGACTTATTGTTTACATGTATTGTGTATTAATGTAACAGATATATTGAACCTTCGATATTTTGAATTATTGATCATTTGAGATATCGAACCGTTAATATTTTGAAGCATTAATTTTTAGAACTATAGAGATTTTGCTTGTTTAGTGTTATGGATATTTAGAGATCTTTGTAACAATCAATTTTACATATAAGTAATCACTTGATAGTAAACTGAGAATATCAAAACTTAGCAAGAATTGTCATAAGAAAGTAACAAGTTCTTAATAATGAATTCACTTATTATATACCTTATAATTACCCTTTGATTTTTAGTATAGTTTTGATTATAGACTTGGAATAGTCTATATAATATTGTTATTC